AGTATCAGATTTAAGAGGAAAAGAAAAAGGGATGAAACCACCCACAGATCACCAGATGATGCACAGCAGTCCTAAGAAGTTACTGATAAGACTGCGGTCGTCAGATGACTGCAGAATGGAGCCTGTTGATGGTCCTTGCACTGGTAGCAACTTCTAACATCTTAAAGGTGCCCTAGAATGTGTTGAAATAATATTTAAATTTTTTCTCTGATATCTACATAGTGTCACGGTTTCCCCTGGTCCTGTCCCGCACTACACTTCCCAGCATTCCCCTGGATCCTCACCTGCACGCACTCTCCCTGATTGTTATCACCTGCACCTCGTCTCCTCATGATCGCCACTCATGCTGCATAAAAGCCTCAGTCACCCTACACTCCTGGTCCGATCTTGTCAATTCTGGTCCCTGGTTCCCAAGTAATCTTCAAGAGACATTTCTGGTATTTTTGGTATTCCTAAGTATCTTCTGAGCATTTGTTTTACCTTTTATTTTGGAGTCTGCATACCGTGTATAAATAAAGCCTAAGTTTATTTTACCTGTTCCTGAGCGTTCTGTGACAGAAGATCGGACCACACACAACGCAGGACTCCATCCATGCCGCTCTACTGGATTTTCTCCACGTCCTTCGATTCCCAGCACCTCTTCCTTCACCGCAAGTCTACCCCACTCCGTTCATCCTCCGTCTCCGCCCTGCCGAACCGGCATTTCTGTTTGGATCCACCAAACCCACTCCCCACACCTGCCCTACCGAAGAACCCTTTCGCTTCGGTTCCTCCGAGTCAACTCCCCTCACCAGCCCAGCCGAACCAGCGCATCTCATCTGGCCAGCCGAAGCAGTGCACAACCAAGACCACCCAGACCATGTAGGTCGACAGCAAGAGCCCACCTCAGACAACGTGAGAGACTCCACCGCAACGTTTGAGCCAGCGCCCACAGGGGCTACCGAGCTGAACATCGCAATGGAGCCTGAGCATCGTACGTCCGACCCAGTGTGCGAGCCGGCTGCACCATCCATTGCCGAGGGAGTTCTAGTGGAATTCGAGGGCATGGAAGTGTGAGTTTTTGGTTCCAGCACAGGGAAACTTTCAGTGTTTTGGAGAGTTTGACTTATTTGTCCCATTGTCTTCTGAATCTGTCTGTCATGTCCCGGATTCTCTGTTCCCGCCCAGCCTCCCTCTCCCACCACCTCTCAAAAATACTGTTTTATGTTTGGATGATGTTTGTCTGGCCCTTCAAGCTCCTTCCCAGTTCCCTACCATTTTTGCTGCCCAATCTTCGCCTCCCCCCATCAGCCCCTCTGTTCCACCTCTGCCTCCTCTCAGTGGTGTGGTTTCACTGCTGGACTGCTGGGGGTCATCTCACCCTGGGCCGAGGACCCCGTGGCTTCGCCTCCAGCCTCTGTACACTCCACTCCACTTCGACCCGTCTTCCCTGACTCCCACGCCTATGCTCCATCCACCCTCGATGTCTGCAGTGACCATCGGACATTCGGCTTCACCGGGCTCCCTCGGTACTTCGGCTCCACCTGGGTCGGACATTGCACCACCTTCGCTGCGGACTTGCGGGTCATTCAGTGATCTCCGGCCCTCCACCCCTTCGGCTGCGGCTCAGGCTCCACCTCTGCCCTCGGTCACTCCTGCTCAACCTCAGCCCTCCGGATCCCTGCTTCCACCTCGGGGGGATGTCACTGTGGCTCTGTCGTGGTCTCCGAGGTCTTCGGTGTCCTGTCACTCCTTTGGCTCTCCGGCGGCACGGTGGGCTCCGCCTTCCACGTTGTCATCGCTTCCTGTCATCGCCATGAGACCTGCCGGCTGTCTTTCCCCATGGCTCCTCCCTCCAGCTATGCCACCGTGGAGCACAGTTCGGTTTAGGCGCGAGGTCGTGCCTTTTGTGAGGGGGGTGTAATGTCACGGTTTCCCCTGGTCCTGTCCCGCACTACACTTCCCAGCATTCCCCTGGATCCTCACCTGCACGCACTCTCCCTGATTGTTATCACCTGCACCTCGTCTCCTCATGATCGCCACTCATGCTGCATAAAAGCATCCCTACACTCCTGGTCCGATCTCGTCAATTCTGGTCCCTGGTTTCCAAGTAATCTTCAAGAGACATTTCTGGTATTTTTGGTATTCCTAAGTATCTTCTGAGCATTTGTTTTACCTTTTATTTTGGAGTCTGCATACCATGTATAAATAAAGCCTAAGTTTTATTTTACCTGTTCCTGAGCGTTCTGTGACACATAGAGGGTATGTGGCTTATTTAAAGTCCCCGTGAACCGGAAGTTGCAAACGACTTTTCTCCAGTGTTGTGACGTATTTCCGAGAGAAACGGAATACTAAATGAGGCAAAATGGTGGGCGTGGCTTTTTTCCCAACTAGCACCTGATTGGATCTAGAAAAGTAGGTGTTTTCATTCAGCCTGTCAACTGTCAGTTGGAGGGGCGTGATTACGGATGTTATGAAGACGCCCAAACCGTCAAACCTACGTCATCAGGCAAGGTCCTCC